TTTTGATTGCACCCTCACGCTTAAATGTGGGCTTGCACAGTGTATCAAAACCTTTCTGAAAGCCTTCCTAATTAATGAGGATGAATTGCTTTATACACCAATGAACTGCTGTAGTGCTTAATATATGCCTTACTTCCATCTTTATTGATTTTTGGTGCGGATCGTCGTACCTCGTATGACATTTTCATTCTTTATTAAATTCTATTTTTAGCCAAATGTGATATTCTAATGAATACTTGGCTTCAGAATGACGAGCCGCTAAAATTTGACCGTGTTCTTTGCGATGTGATCTGCAGTGGAGATGGTACTCTTAGAAAAAATCCGGAGATTTGGTCGAAATGGACACCGCAAGATGCATTAGGACTGCATCGCATGCAACTTTCTATCGCACAAAAGTAGCTGAATATGTTTTTAGATTAAAAATTCATGATTTTTCCAATTCTAGAGGAGCTACTCTCTTAAAAGTCGGTGGTCGAATGGTATATTCAACATGTTCGATGAACCCAATAGAAGATGAGGCAGTTGTAGCGCAACTACTTCGAATGTCGAGCGGCTCTCTTCGATTATGTGACGCGCATCAGTTACTTCCTAAACTCAAAGCTCTTCATGGAGTTTCGTCGTGGAAGGTAGTGCTGCAACTATCAGTTCAGCAGATATGTGTTTTCTTGCAGGTATTCGATCGAGACATGAATATTTACGATAAGCCTGAAGACGTGCCCGACTTCTTGCGAAGAATTATCTGTCACTCATGCTTCTCCCCTTCGGAGGAAGAGGCCAAATCGCTGCATTTGGAGCATTGGTATGTACATTCCATCTACGAGCTTTGATTGATTTTTTAAATTTGTGAATTAGCAGATATATCTGTTTGAAAGAATAAAGGATGTTGTAACTGGGAATAGTTCACAGAATTGAGCATTGACACTGTGGATATCTCAGCTCATGGGAATCCTTGAATTTACTATCATTTGTAAATCTTATTACTTAACGAAATTTTCAGCATTCGCATCGTTCCCCATCACCAGGACACAGGTGGTTTTTTTGTGGCCTTGATCGAAAAGGTGGACGAAGGAAGTTTCAATAACGTTGTGCCTGTGGGGTGAGGTTTGAATTTCTGTATATTGTACTTATGTACCAATTTATTTTTTAGCGCTCCTGCATACAAAAAACAGAAAATGTTCAAGGATGAGCCTTTCACTTTCTTGAAAAAAGAGGATGACCGCTGGGCTGATATCAAGTGAGTTTTCTTAAAGAGTTTGTTGGAAACAAATGCTGATATTCTCTGCATCAATCAATTGGCCTAAATCAGTATTATGATTAAAATTCTATCCACTCTCTTTTCATGTCACTCCTTAGTGTGTAATATTTCGATCTTGAGGCTAATTTACCTCGCTTTAGATTTTGTCACATTTATTTTTCAAGAAGAGCTAAGCAAAATACTTTATGAGACGTCATCTTGTGTTCCTAGCCAAATTGGGCTTTTTCATACATTGCATGATTTCTTTGACAAGCTGCAAGTTGCCTGCTCTCAGTTTGTTGTGGTTAAAATTATTTGTTTATTCGATTACTGTTACGGAAGGAAGTACAAAGCCCTGATAATAAGGATCAAATGTAGTCTCAATGTTAAAATGA